GTTCAATAGTGGATAACAGGTATAGACTATTAAAATGGCAAAAGGCTCACCAGTGGATAACAGGTATAGACTAGTACGATAGTAGGATGTTCAATAGTGGATAACAGGTATAGACTATTAAAATGGCAAAAGGCTCACCAGTGGATAACAGGTATAGACTAGTACGATAGTAGGATGTTCAATAGTGGATAACAGGTATAGACTATTAAAATGGCAAAAGGCTCACCAGTGGATAACAGGTATAGACTAGTACGATAGTAGGAGGTTCAATAGTGGATAACAGGTATAAACTAGTAAAATGGCAGGAGGTTCAATAGTGGATAACAGGTATAACTATTAAAATGGCAGAGGTTCACCAGTGGATAACAGGTATAGACTAGTAAAATGGCAGGAGGTTCAATAGTAAATGTCTGATGCAGACTAGTAAAATAGTAGGATGTTTCACTAGTGGATAACAGGTACAGACTAACAAAATGGCAGGTGGTTCAATAGTGGATAACAGATATACCCTAGTAAAAGTAGGAGATTCAATAGTGGATAACAGGTGTAGACTGGTAAAATGGCAGGAGGTTCAATAGTGGATAACAGATATACCCTAGTAAATGGTAGAAGATTCAATAGTGGATAACAGGTATAGATAATATATAACATTTTCCCATCTTGTATTCTTATTCGTTCATCAGTTTTATCTGTTTTTGTGCCTAGCAATTTTCATTTTTTATCCACTATCAAGTCTTTTTTTTCTGACGATTTTCCTTATCCAAATATAATGCATACGATTTTTGATAATGTACCGAGTTTCACAAGTGTGCGGTAGTCTGGGGACGACTTGCGAACTGTTACCAGATATCATCTCACCATCGCTAGAAAACGACGATTCAAACTTCATGCAGATCAACATCATAAAGTTTGTAACAAGACACAAAATGGATCTTTGTTATCCACATCTTATAAGCGACTCTACTGTTCATGATTTTCCTCACAAATCATTACGTTTACCATTCTGTTAGTTACGAATGAAGATCATCCAGCAAACTATCCAAAAAACTTTATTTTACTTTCTTATATATGACTCCAATATTCCTTGGATACTTCCTACATCTTCCACTGTATGGGTTTGTCACCAGTAGAGAAAATTAAGTATTCTACTTAATCATAGTAGCAGGTGGTATTTAATACTTACTGAGGGCTTAATAAACTCGACACCAGACATCCGGTAGTTAATTCACAAACCATTTTAGTTGTCAAATAACCAATTCTCATCCACCAAATAATCATTCTCCCATTTTACCAGACATTCACTATTGAACCTCCTGCCATTTTACTAGTCTATACCTGTTATCCACTATTGAACCTCCTGCCATTTTACCAGTCTACAGCTGTTATCCACTATTGAACCTCCTGCCATTTTACTAGCGTGATAGTTTTATTTGATGTGTTTAAACATTTAAATACCGTGTTCATTAACATATTAGAATCATAGCACAAACTTGAATTTTAACTCGCAGTATGATAAACCTATTTATGCAGAATCTACACACTATTTTATGTTAATAAGTTATCGATTATAGTTATTTTCCTGTAGAGCTTGTTTGTTTTTAAAACTGTTGTCAAGCGGTGAAACATATGCTCCAAGATGAACATTACTTTACAAACTGCTCAGGATAAATAAGAAGATGCTGAGGGTAAACATATTTCTACAAATAACTCAAGATGAACATAGTTTTATAAATTTCTCAGGATAAACAGATGAAATTCTAGAGCTTTAGTTTGAAACACTGCACTGAGAGTGTGGTGAATGATCAATGTTTATATTATAAATGTACTAAAATTGAACCTAAAACACAATCCATAACGATGATAGTTACAACTTACAGTCTGAAGTCTCCGCTCTGTTCTGATAGCATGAAGAACCATAGCATTACCGACGAACGTCAGGAGGCTGAGAGCATATAAACTGACACCCATCGGCGCGGCTATTGCGGGATTATCCAGATAGCCACTGCTGTAGCTCCGACCAGCCGATGTTCGACTCCCGCCGGAGCTACTCCCTCCCTTCTCGGGAATGAACACCGTGAGTTTAGGACCTGGTGGATAAAATCCAGAATTATTTTGAAAAATTTGTATGGCAAGGTCAATTTCCTTGTAGTTCTCCAGCCTCACAGAACAGTTAATAAGTAGTAACAGTTGAGAATAAATCCCAGAGTATCCCGTTGATCCGAGATAAACCGAGTGTTAGAACTTGTCAGTTCTGGTCAAGTTGTAAACATTTATTAATCTAAACTAATATAGTTTGGTGAGCATCATCTTGAAGCACACGAATAACAGCATGTTCATTTCCATCAATAACAACATGTTCATTCTTCCCATCAATTTATTTCATCTGAGCCGAATTCATAAATGGTCAAACTGTTAGAGCTTAGTGAAGCAATAAAATTTGTTATCTGTAGTTAATGCAGTGCTTCAGACTGCATTGTTACTTGTCGCGCTACGGAATTAGTTACATCAAGTGAGTAAGACACAAATCACTTTCTTTGGAACTCGTAGAGAGGACCTATAAGGTGTTGCAACTAACTTAAGATAATCATATACAGTTTATTATAAAACTATGACATGAAACAACTGGTTACTCTACCCGTGTCTCAATGGGCTAAGAACAAAAAAGTCATTCAAGGCAAAGAACGAATAAGAAGCACAAGTATTCTATATACAATCCTTTATGGCCTCATGACATTTCTTGTTCAGGTTAATTAAGCGATAGGTAATAAACGTCACAATTAATCTGCTAATGGTTCTTTCCATAAAGTGACCAAAAGACACACACTCATGCTTTGAACTTGAACGAGTACAGACTGGGTTTTGTAAATGTTTGTCTGTGTCAGTTGCACTCGTTACTTGCCATGCGCTGCTTTCTAACCCACGCTCCATCAGAGAAGACTTCGTTACAGCGCCATCTTATGGAAATTAAGCTAATTATATTTTTGGTTCTTCATATGGACAGCAAAGTTATCTATATTTTTCATTTGAAAAGCAAGAAACAAATTCTTTCACAAGCAAAAAAGTAAAAAAATGCTAATAATGTACAGAAATACGAAATCCAAGAACGTTAAAAATATTTGTTTTTTAAATCATGTTTCTGGTCTGTTCTGTACTTCTTTATGAATCGTTCATTTGTTTTTATATAACAAAATGAAGTTAGGAAATTTCTTTCAATTTCGTTCTTACAGTTTGAATGTTGAACTGGTATTTATTGTACGTCAACAAGTAGTCGGCTAACCCATTGATTATCAACTTGAGTTTTTTATGTGTGTGTTCTTCTCAGATTTCCCTAATTTCGCGTGGAGTAGAAGGTAGGATCCACAAGATAACAGGAAGATTCAACAGATACTATATCACAAAGCTCTGCCTGAATTTCCTCTGCCTTTGAGTGAGTCTGAGTTACAAAAAGAAAATGGAAACAAGTTTGCAAACAATCACAATCTTTGCTAGAAATAACACAATCAGCATTAAGATTGAAAACTGGGCAAGCTCGTTTGTAGAGAGAGAGGCAGATTCTACTTATAGTTCACAAGTTAAGTGATGTTAGGATAAAAGCTGTCTATACACTTCTCGCTCCAGGTGCATGCGCTATCCACGTGATTGAGGGCCACTCTCACGTCATCAAGAGATGCCATAGTTTTGGGCCATCACCTGACAATAGAAAAAACACTGTAGCATACCTTCCATAATGAAGATCACATGTGATGTCCTTTGTGACTTATCTAGACCATTGTTTCTAGCTGTAACATATCTTCCCTAATGAAGATCACATGTGATCTCCTTTGTGATTTATCTAGACCACTGTTTCTAGCTGTAACATATCTTCCCTAATGAAGAGCACATGTGATCTCCTTTGTGACTTATCTAGACCATTGTTTCTAGCTGTAACATATCTTCCCTAATGAAGAGCACATGTGATGTTCTTTGTGACTTATCTAGACCACTGTTTCTAGCTGTAACATATTTTCCCTAATGAAGAGCACATGTGATGTTCTTTGTGACTTATCTAGCCCCATGAATAACTAATACGAGAGGAATTTCGCGGTGCCTTTGAGTAACGTCCTCAGATTAATAACAAAACCTGACTTACACTAAAATTTTGAACTATTTATCGATTAACTAAGAGGGTAGGAAACGTATGTTATCCTGATATACTACTTGTACCTAACTTTTGACATTGTGCAATTCTAAAATAAAAATCACTTGCCACGAGAGAATAAACACTTAGCATTCACGGTGAGAAAACATCAAGCACTAGAAAAAACACTTATCACAAGAAAACAAATACGTAACATGAAAAACTATCACTTGCCACCAGAAAATAACTCTTAGCACAAGAAAACAAGAACTAAACCTCAGTAAACAAATACTTACCATGAGAAGATAAACACTTAATACAAGAAAACAAGAACTAAACACCAGCAAACAAATACTTACCATGAGAAGATAAAGACTTGAATACAAGAAAACAAGAACTAAACACCAGCAAACAAATACTTACCAGGAGAAGATAAACACTTAATACAAGAAAACAAGAACTAAACACCAGCAAACAAACACTTACCATGAGAAGATAAACACTTAATGCAAGAAAACAAGAACTAAACACCAGCAAACAAATACTTACCATGAGAAGATACACTTAATGCAAGAAAACAAGAACTAAACACTAGCAAACAAATACTTACCAGGAGAAGATAAACACTTAATACTCCAAAACACTTGTTAACATAGAAATCTAACACTTATATCGAGAAATACAATAATATAGATCCCTTTTAAATATAAATAATCAGTAAAATACATATTTTGAAATAACTTTTTGTTGTCCACTGCAACGTTTTTGTAATTATTTTGTCACCGAATAGTTCTTTTTATAATTTTAATATTTAGTATTTGTTCAGTATGTATTAAATCTGACTCTCTAACTCTAGTAACAATTCTGTAGTTTATAAAATCGTTTTTCTGTGCGACGTTCATTGCAGTTGAAAATTTATGACAACCTTTTTATTTGTATTATCTATAAAAATCTTATGAAATCTGTGAATAGTTTTTCTGTCTGTATAATTCTCATAGTAGTTTACCCTTTTTTTCTACACAGCTGTCTTGTTCTATTATCACCCTGCGCTTGTGATTGAGTTTACAAGTATAGGAAAAATATTATCGCTGAATAAAAAATCCATGTAGAGCTGGCTACTGAACTCGAAAAAAGGAACCAAACAAGATAGGGATGGAAGTGGGCATATCACTTGATCCGGCTAATGATCTCATAGGAGACTAAGCTGTCTCAACTATACATGGATAATAAAATCCCTACATTACTGGCTTCCCAACTTTGTTTATCGAAAGCTTGGTGTGTTTGAATAGAACCTCAGCTTTCATCATTATTCTTTTCCTTTAGTTAACTTTAGAATGCTAGTTTTTATAACTATTTTACAATAGAGTAACAGTTTACGATTTGAAATACTGGTTCTATTTGTTTTGCCAGAGAGAAAGCCAGTAATGTACGAAATTGGGTGACTATGCCAGGTAGCTATTCATACCTAGCTCCTGATGACTTGTATTTGTATTGATTTTTTTACTCCTTCACCTCATATATAATATAGGGGTTGGTTCCCTAAAGACACTGATTGTATAGTGTCCAAAGCATTGAGTTTATACATGTTACAGTCCTCTGATGTTCATGTGTTATTGGCTGGTAATTTCTGTTTCGCCCTGAACATAAGCTTTTTAAAGGAACACTAGATTTATGTAAAAATACTTCCTTCAAGGGATAGTAGCATCGTTTACACTAAAATTATGACCTTTTTTTAAATTTTGCAAATAATAATAATAAAATAGGTAGTCAAAGATCGTGAAAACTGTTTTGCTCTATCAAATGATGATAAAATTATAGTTACTGCTAGAACTAGGTAGGCGCTAGGCCTGTTGAAGAAAGATGATGATAAACAAAAATAAGAAATCTCGGTTTTGGCTATTCGTCAGTTTTCGACTTTGGGACGCTCTGGATAGCTGAAAAGCGGCATATACACAGGAGATAGAGTGACTTTACCATGTAGCTCTTCATATTTAGTTTCTAATGGCCTGTAGAGAAGAAAATCCAAGCGACTTTTGTATTGCTTTAATACGAACGTCTGTGCCATCCTCACATGGAGAGTGCTAGTTCATTTTTTTGTCTAGTGATAAAGAGTAAAGAAATACTAAACTGTTTATAACCAAATCAATGTAAAAATTATGACCAATGTCACTTTTTCTTCACTTCACCTATCCACTGTATAAGTTTTTCTCATTGTGATTAGAAAGTGTTTGATACTTTCACTATGATATAGGTCCCCCCCCCCCGGGATCGGAATCAAATAACGCATATGTTATTGTTGTTGTCTTTTCAACGTTACAGTATAACCCAATAACGCACGTTGTTCAAAATGTAGATTGAACTGGACCTTCCTTGAATGCAGACTTCGAAATTTAACAATTTTCGAAATACTAAGTTTATTAATGAATATCAAAATAATCCTCTTGTGTATTCGTTTGACTGACGGTTGTGATTACCCAAGGGTGGTTCTGACGAAAGTAGCCAAAGAAATGGCGGTGAGTGCTATTCACTAGCTGACTTCCCTCTGTGGTTAGGATATTTGACTCGCAGGGTCAAACCCTCTCGCTGAACACGCTCGTCCTTTCAGTTGTAGGGGCGTTATAATGTGATGGTAAATTCCACTATTCATTGGTAAAGAGTAGCCTATGAGCTGGCAGTGGTTGATTTTGACCAGCTTCCTTCCCTCTAGCCTATCACTGCTAAATTAGATACTGCTAGTGCACATACCTCTCGAGTAGTTTTACACGAAATTCAACGCAGACATATACAGAAGGTTTGTTTGTTTGAAGTTAAGCACAAAGCTACAGAATGGGCTATCTGTGCTATGCCCACCACGGGTATTGAAACCCGATTTCTAGCGTTGTAAGTCCGTAGACATACCGCTGTGCCACTGGGGGGCTGAACACAAGATTCCATTAAGTAGTAGGTTTTGGGGTTTCTTTGTTGTTTTTTGTCTGTAAGTAAGGAATTAATTTTTATTACGTATAAAATCACGTGAAATTGCGTGGGCTGAAAAAACGATAAAGTAGTTTTTATACCTTAACTGTACTTATTTTCCTCATTTGTAGAACAGGGTTATCTTATTCATGTTACGCACGTGGGAACGCCACTTGTTCTTAAGCTCGTGGATTACATTATCTGAGTACATACTTTGTCAATTTCATTCTTACCTCTTTTTTTGTGTGTCCTGTAAGTCTTAATAAGATACTGAACTACCAACTACCACTGTAGTCAAGATCTAAGAGAGTGGAAAATTGAATTTCCCTATTATGGTACCAGACAACTAAGAATTATTCGGTGC